ATCTATTTTGCTTCTTCTGTTGAAGAGTACCTTCAGTACTATTTTCAGAATCCGTAAATGATTTGGGTGAATGGTGATGAGCACATGTAAGTATGAACATAATGAGGATGGATGATTGGTCATAAGATCAAGTGATGATGAAAATTGTTGAAAAATTTTATGACATGTTCTATATCATAAATGTATGATCTTCTTGGATAAATAAAGGTATTCTATTTTATTCTATACTATTCACAATTAGTAGATGAAGTGAAGTTTTGAAGACTGAAGTTGAATAACCAATAAAGCAACACGATTGCCATCCTCAGAAGAGCTGACAATTTTCAGAAGATTGGCTGACTCTTATACCTATAGTGTCTCTCGGGATGTTCTCCAAGAATCACTAGCGAGAGTGATTGGGGTTTTCATTCTATTGAATATAGAGACAGAACCAATAATAGAATAGAGTACACGAAAAAAACCTGAATCTTGGTTCATCAACCTATCATCAAGCTCTATTCCATCCGATGTGAATGAAGCTACAAGAAATGCTAGGCAAGTCTAAGCAGAATGTTTTTCAAATCTCGCTTCGACTCGTTTGGCCATTTTTCTCTCTCATTTTATTATGTTACAATCCATTTAATGAATACCTGACTAATCTTTGGTAATAATTCCATCTGGAGGATTACCTAGAAGATTATGAATGTATTCCGTTGCAGTGGGAGGGTATTCAATTTAATTCAGCGTTATACTTATGAAGCAAAACATTCAAAGCCAAGTGAACATTCTTTAGTAACAATTCGATTTTACCAAATCGCAGTTGCCATGAAGAATCTACAACACATACGCAGAAAAGTATGACAGAAAGTTTCATTAATGACAACCTGCATATGTGTTGTTGATTCTCCATGGCAGTTGCAATTTGGTAAAATAAAACTAAAACTAAGTCTTAACTGTTCAACCTCGAATATTTCATGAACGGCCGAACCGTTTATCAACAAACTATATATATTTTTGGAATCAGGGTGTCTGAAAAAAACCTAACCCCCTTGCTAGGGTAAGTAGAACACTACAAAATAGGTTGGATTTGCTCAGTGGAAAAATGTCGTAACGGCATCCGTTTTCAAGATACAAGGTGTTGAAAAACTAATTTTTTTACACATTTTTTACGATTATGTCGAAACTACTGGCAACATTGTAATGGAATTTTGTATGGATGTTTTTTGGAATCTGACACATGGCATGAATTTGTTTTTCTATCTGACTCTCATAGATGGCGCTAGTTACACGGTTCGTACCTAGTAGTTTTAAACATAACTTTTTTGAGGTAAAATTTTTCAATCCGAATTTGATGTAAACTTGAAAATCATTCAATTTCACACCAAAAAGGTACTCTTGGTGAAACCCGATACTGTGTTCCGTTGTCGAAATATTCCGATTTGAAAATGATGAAGTGATAACTGTTGCTGGTATAAAGCTATGTATGAGAGTGAGTATTATAAAAAATCATCACCTATTCATTGCAAACGGAAAAAAACATAACATTTCTTATGCTAAACTTATTGAGTTAACAATGATTCACAAGAATAACATTGAAACAAGTTTTACTGAAAACATGGATTTACACAGTTTCGTTGTATCAAGCAAAAAGTGTATGCTACAGAGGTGAATTTACGTCTGGAGTTGCAATTTAGAATTGAACATCACTTAGATGACCTTACAGCTGATCCTCAACCGTTTACAAAAATAATGCTCTCTTAAAAAAATATCGAATCGTGTATTCGTGGAAACGGAGGACATTTTGAACACTTACTCTAACTGATTCGATATTTTATGTTTCTAGTCAAATATTTCTCAATTTTCTACTTGTGATTCTTTGTTCAATCAATAACCACAGCTCAAGAATATGATGTTATTTTTTTTCAATCAGAATAAACAAGTAATTGATCTCAATAAAGTTCATTTTATACGAGCATCAGATATTATTCCATTATTTTCAAATCGAAATATTCCGAAAACGGAACACAGTATCGAGTTTTACCAGAAGTACCTTTTTGGTATGAAATTGAATGATGTTTGAGTTTACATCAAATTTGGGTTGGAGAATCTAACCTCAAAAAAGTTATGTTTGAAACTAATCGGTACGAACCGTGTAACTAGCGCCCTCTATGAGAGTCAGATATAAAAACAAATGCATGCGATGTGTTAGGTTCCAAAAAACATCCATGCAAAATTTCATCACAATGTTGCCAGTAATTTCGACGTAATCGTGAAACATGTGTAAAAAAATCATTGTTTCAACACCTTGTATCTTGAAAACGGATGCCGTGACGACATTTTTTTACTGAACTCATTTTCCAGTTTTCTACCTATCTATCACATATATATATTCTACCGTTGAAAATAACGAAGTTGGTACCCATTTTTTATATCAGCGATATCCTCTTGTTACAATCCGTACAATTTGCTGAAAGTTCAGAACGAAATTTAAAACTATTGTATTCGAAGTTTTCTTCTATCTATCTATCTATCTTAAATATACGGAATGACGCAGTTACATGAACCGAGAGATATCATTGCAATATGAATTGAACAGTCCCTGAAGAGTAGAATAACAAACTATCTTAACGTTAAGAAGATACTCACAGAAAGGCAGTTCGGCTTTATCAATAATTCCAATACGTAAAATGCCGTGCTAGATTTTGTTAAGAAAACTGTTGAAGCCTTGGATAGATCAGAAAAATGTTTAGCCATATTTCTCGATCTAGCCAAGGCATTTGACACTGTGGATCACGGTATGCTATTAGAAAAACTGCATGGTTATGGTATACGAGGACCAACATTTATGATATTGTAAGACTATCTATCACACAGGACACAGAGGGTGAAGATTGATAATAATTTGAGTGAAGCAATGGAGGTTAAAACAGTAGTACCACAAGGCACAGTTTTGGGACCTATATTGTTTTTTGTTTATATCAACAGCATCAGCTTCATAAATGATTTTGAGGGACATATTATCTCATACGCAGATGATACAGCAGTTGTATTCACAATCAGAGCAAAACAAAATCCATATTCATGAAGACTGTTCCACTCCAACAAGTTGCGATTGTGCTGTCATAGAAAAAACAGAAAATATCAAGTATCTAGGCGTGATTGTGGACCAGCATTTGAGGTGGGATGAACATGCAAGTTATGTCATGAAAAGACTCAGACAGTTGATCAAAAAGTGTTACGAATTGAGAGATATCCTAGATAAAACAATTTTGATCACAGTATACACATCCCTAGCCGTATAGTGATAAGGTACTGTATCTCAGCCTGGGGTGGACTTTTCAACAATTCCTTGAACCCACTCCAAACAACTCAAAATACAATTTTGAAAATTCTGTTTGAAAAGCCCAAATTGTTCTCTACTGAAAATCTCTATAAAGAAATACAGTTACTGAAGATGAGGGAAATTTATATATATCAGTGTTTAACTTGGGTTTTCATAAACAAATATTCTCTTAAATCTATATACAAAGAAAAACAAACGAGATTCGTGACCAATTTATCCATGAACTTACCTGTATTCAAGAAAAGCCACACACAGAGATGTATCTTCTATCATGGTCCTAAATTATTCAATCTCTTACCAGTAAACATAAGAAATATTAGCAACATCAATAAATTCAAACAAACAATCAAAAACTTCATTAGGCTCAATTATGAAAGGTTCAGTATATTTAATTGAACCTGCATGCATGTGCATATGTGTGTATGTGAGGGAGGGTGTGTATGTGTGTTTAAGGTATACAGGGTGGGTCACGGTCGATGGCACCTTAGACGTTTACGGAGAACGGGACATAAGATCATTCTGAAAATTTGGTTACTCAAGTAATTGCTCTTGATCCATCGATCTAAAATATTTTCAGCGTTGCGGCGTTGCCGCTTCTATCGAAAAGTAGCAACAACTTTGTTATTTTAAACAGAACACCCTGTATTTTATCGCATTTTCAGATTCTCTCTGAAGAGCTGATTCCATCGATGTATCACACTTGGGCGGTCTAGCGAAAATGATTACAGAGATATAGGGTGTGCAAAATCGACATTTTTCAACTTTAGGAATTTTTTTTGTCGAAACTATTCATTATTGGTCAAAACGGCTCACATGTCCCTATCCCAACTTTTGATCAACTATCTACTGACATTTAATTGAAACAAATACAGGGTGGTGCAGAATTCAGATTCTTGATCACCCGGTATATGTCCCAATTAAATATCAGTAGATAGTTAATCAAAAGTTGAGATAGGGACATGTAAGCCGTTTTGACCAATAATGAATAGTTTCGACAAAAAAAATTCCTTAAGTTGAAAAATGTCGATTTTTCACACCCTATATCTCTGTAATCATTTCCGCTAGACCCCAAGTGTGATATATCGATGAAATCAGCTCTTCAGAAAAAATCTGAAAATACGATAAAATACAGGGTGTTCCATTAAAAAATAACAAAGTTGTTGCTACTTTTCGATAGAAGCGGCAACGCCGCATAGCTGAAAATATTTTAGATCGATAGATCAAGAGCAATTACTTGAGTAACCAAATTTTCAGAATGATCTTATGTCCCGTTCTCCGTAAACGTTTAAGGTGCCATCTACCGTGACCCACCCTGTATAATAAATACCAAAGTACTGGTCCTAAAATTTTAAAATTTTAAAATTAGTCACAGGATGTTCAGCCAATTCTCATTGTTATCTCTTTCTTCAGTTTTCTCTTTGGTGTAAATTGTGAGGTGACTTGGGTGTCATTTTTCGTTTTGCAAAAATCTCCTAATTACGTTCATGTGAATCACGTAGGCAACTTTCGAATGCCTTTAGTGGGGGATGGAGAGCACAACACAAGCAAATTAATTGCTTAGGTGCATTCATCCCTCCACAAAGGGTTGTGAAGTGAACAATGTAATATGGAATGATTTTGTATAATATTACTGAGAATAAACTTGAAAACTTGAAACTTGAATATAATCATTTCTTACCACGTGTGCTGGAATCAATCCATTACAAACCCTTTCGTCTTCGATTTCTAGAAGTATTGAGCAAAGGTAATCAACTTGAGCAGTCAACTGCACATCTGTCATTCCTCCTCGCCTCTCTTGTATTAGGGCGTCAACTGCCATGTGACAAACGGTACATGTTTGATTCACATCTAGTGTCAGACCAGTCAGGTATCGGGTTCGTATGGATACATCGTCGAAGATTTTCTTCCAAATGTTTGGTTTTTCTCCAGGGAAAGTTATGTCGGAGTCTAAACATACGAGTTTTGTTAAAAATAGTGACAGATTTAAAGCGACGAAAATTTTGGAATTATAGTTAGGTATATGATTTGAATAGTCCTTCAATACACGGAAAAAAAGGAATTCTTGAAACAAGCAAAATTTGATTGGATGACGCAAATAAAAGTGTCATAAATGCACGACAAAATATAATCTTGAAATGAGTAAATCTATATCTTGTTTCAGAGCGAATTTGAAGTTTGAATCAAGTAAATATGTCTTGTATGAACTGTGGATCTTCTTCGATCAAGCAGATCCATGAATTGTTTGTGAAGAGATAATGAATTGGCTCAAACAATCATTTTGTTTGATTCAAAATAACAAGATATTGATTCATTCGAATATTTAGTTGATTCAACGAAATATTTGGTTGATTCAAAGAAATATTTGGTTGATTCAATAAAATATTTGGTTGATTCAATTAAATATTTGGTTAATTCAATGAAATATTTTGTTGATTCAAGAGAAACTATATATCCATTCGACAAATTGTTTTGTTGAACCAAATTTAATATTCGGAAATTTTCAGAAATTTCACATCAATAGAATAAACAAAACTAGGAAACTAGCCGACTCCCAGAATAGATCTCAAGTCTTTACTCCTCCTTAGCTGATGGAAAACTATTTCGGATTGCTAATCACCTAAGTTCGATTTATCCAGCTGATATTTCAAACACGAAGAATCATGCTTCACGTATATAATGAATTCGAGGCAGGCATAGACGAGGCGAAATGATCGCCATCTAGAGGCGAAAATTTAAGTTGATGTAGAATGAACAAAATATTTCATTGATTTTACATAATTTCGTTGCTCTATATTCAAGCAAACGATCCGTTCGAAACGAGTTTATTGCTACATCGGAATAAGAAAACTTGTATGTTGTTTCAAAGATATAATCTCATCAAAATGATCATTGTTTGATCAAATCAACGAAATGTTTATAGTTGAATCAACATCGACATTATTTTGGATCGACATAATTTGTTTTTGAAGAAACCATATATTTTGTTGATGGAATTGATATTATACTGTTGATTCAATTAGCCTACATTCTTGATTTGAACAAGCTGCTTCAATGGAATAATCATGTATCTGGTTGATTCAACAAAAAATTGCTCAGTCCAACAAAAATAACTCAAGCATAAATACTTTGTTGATGCAACAAATCTTTTTTTCCGTGTAGATTCAATCGATCTCACGAAATAATAGCACTCTCAACACAAACATCATACCATCATACGATGTTTTGTTTACCAACACTATTGAAAAACCGCCAAAATAATGAATGAAAAATATCAGGAATTCGAATTTACAATCACAGAGTTCAGGATCGCATATGGTTCATGAAATAATGTTATATAATATCAACCATTTGCTCATTATTAAATATATAGGTTGATTCATCAAAATGGGCAATCTCTGAAATACATACAGGGTGTCCGCAAAAAGCAGGTCAATCCATCAACCAAATATTCCTTGAACAAAAACAATATGAGTTTCTTAATACCATTTTTCATTATAGCCCTTCATATTCGATGAACAGGGTGTCAAAGTTGGAAATTAAAAACAGTTTTTTTTATTACTCGCTTATTTTATCAGATATTGATCTCAAAATTGGTACATAACTTCAGCACAGAGAGTTACATCGTGGGAGGAAGACAAAGCAGAAAATAACTGTCAAATATTCAAATTACTATGGTGGTCAAGTACACACTTACCCCCATATTTTTTTTGTACGTGCGCTAATGACTTCCGATCTATTCTTTTTCAAGTGTTCAATCATTTTTGAGTCTTTGTTATCTACTGTGAAATTTCGATAAAATTATTTGTTTTCAAGATGATTCGAAAAGTACTGGTTATTGTTCGATGCCTATGCGGCTTACGGTAATCTCATAATGTTCACATACTCCTATTTATTTCGTCGAAATTGGAAGAGGGCGTAACTTTTTACGTACGAAAAGGTAGATATAGAAATACCGGGTGCTCAGAGCAAATGTATTAAAATAATTTTTAAGAAACATAAATTGATGGAAATTCAACACGTCTAAATGAATTGCTCGATATGAATTTTTTGAATACACATGCAAGCCCTTTTGATTAAAGAAAACCTTAGCCTTTGAAAAATATGTGGCTTATGCACAAAATCTTTAATACATTCATAGACAATCCTGATCTGCTATTTCTTTCATCAAGTAGCTATTGAAATCATGAATATCACAATTTCATAAAAAATTTCCGAAAATATATTTTTTAATTGTTTCCGATTTTATTTCTCGTTCGTTCGCGCCCGACATACCATACGGTGGTAAGAGGCTCGGAAATATTTTTAAAAAATTCTGCACCACCCAGAACCGCTAAAACCGATTTTGAAAAAAATTAAAAAAATTCAATAATCCTTCAAGAGGGTGGGCTCGTCAATCGACATTTCCCCGTCCCCATCCTTCTAGAATCATCATTTATCCCAAATTTCAAAAAACGTTTTTTTTTATTTGACCCCGTAAAAAAAATTTTCACGCCGTTCGATTGGCAAAAAAATTTTATTCGACACGTGTCCTCACTTTTTTTTATTTGTTTTTTTCTGTGAAAATAATTTTAATACATTCACTCTGAGCACCTGGTATTTCCATATTTACCTCTTCGTACGTAAAAAAATACGCCCTCTTCCAATTTCGACGAAATAAATAGGAGTATGTGAACATTATGAGATCACCGTAAGCTGCATAGGCATCAAACAATAATCGGTGTACTTTTCGAATTATCTTGAAAACAAATAATTTTATCGAAATTTTACAAGAAACAAAAAATACTCAAAAAGGATTGAAAACTCGAAGAAAAACGAATTGAAAGTCATTAGCGAACGTACAAAAAAAAATGGGGGTAAGTGTGTACTTGACCCCCAGTATTTTAAATATTTGACAGTTATTCTCTGTTTTGTTCTCATCACACGATGTAACTCTTTGTGCTGAAGTAATGTACCAATTTTGAGATTAATATGTTAATAAATACGCCAGTAAAAAAAAAACAGTTTTTAATTCCCAACTTTGACACCTTGTATATCGAATATGAAGGGCTAAAATGAAAAATTGTATTTAGAAACTCATATTGTTTTTGTTCAAGAAATATATGGTTAATGGATTGACCTCCTTTTAGCGGACACCCTGTATAGTGAACACCTGGCCTTAGAAAAATTTTGATACATTGTGTACATTTTATTTTGAAATTTTCTCATTATCTTTTGGTCGAACGTTTCGGATGAAATTTTGTTTATTGTTGGTGTTATTAGTGATTGTCATTACCAATCACTGTTTCTCAATATTTTCGCAAAATGGTATTATTTTGATTTTGGACAATCGGTTTGTACGCTGTACCCAGATAATACGAAGACGTCCTGTGTACGTCCAGAGGACGAACATCTGGGACGTACAACACCTCCTGAAGACGTCCAGTATCGGTCGAGAGACGTCCATAGGACGTACAGGGAACGTCCGATGTTCCAAGAAGAAACGTCCCAGGGACGTCCATATTAGGCCCAAGTTTGGTATTTCATCGCCGTGAGTACCATAATCAATGTGGATTCGCCTTTTCTTACTCAGATAGATGAAAAAGAAATCTATACAGAGTACCTTTGTTCAAAACATGCTCTGCTAACATGCTCGTTATATTGACAAAAACTGATGAATAAATCCATTGAAATCACATTTGAGTAATTATTTTCTGCTATAGTACTTTCACACCTATGGAACTTGAATTCACAGGATGACAATGAAGGAATTTTACAGGGTGATTTACCATAAATTTCTCCCCATCTAGCTCAGTTATTTTTTAATCAATCGCAACATTTGAGGCATCATTTGAAATAATTCTTGATGAAGTTCTTTTTCGTTACATCAGAAAATACAGGGCACTAGTTGATTTTTTCATATAAAACACCCTATATTTCATCGTATTTCTAGATTCTCCCTGAAGAGCTGATCTCACTTGGAGTCTAGCGTGAATGATAACAGAGATAAAGGGTGTTCAAAATCGAGATAAATATTTCAACTCAAGGATTTTTTTCTGTCGAAGCTATTTATTGAAACACCCTGTAGTGTTTCGATTGAATGTTAATAGATAGTGAATCAGAAGTTGTGATAGGGACATATGACTCGTTTTAGCCAATAATGAATAGTTCGGACACAAAGTTGAAAAATCTCGATTTTGAACACCCTCTATACCTCCGTAATTATTCCCGCTAGACCCCATTGATGACATCAGCTCTTTAGGGAAAATATAAAAATGGAATGAATTACAGGGTATCCCACTTCAAAAAATCAACTAGTAACCTGTAGATCGTTCGTTCCGGGCACCCTGTATTTTCTGACATAGCGGAAAAAACTTATTGAAAAATCATTTCGAATGATCCCTCGAATTTTACGATCGGTTCGAAAAAAACTATACCACATATTTCTCAGACCAAAACAATCCGATACAAGCAAACGTACCTACCCTAGTACAAAGTTGCTCAGTTTGGGCGCTATAGATGGCTCTGAAGTTACAATTTTCGAATAGATAATATGGAATATAAGAGATTATCGTTGCTTTCTCAACATTCGGTATCAACTCATGAGAGATCAACCAATTATTGAGTTTGATAAGATCGTTTTGAATGTGTTGCTGTATGGTAATAGCCATCTTACCGGAATAGACTATTGTAGTGTCATCAGGGTACAGTTTTATATTTCCTTTCAAAGACAGCTCAGGCATGGAATTCACATGAATTAAAAATAATGTTGGTTCCAAAATGGATCCCTGCGGAACTTCACAAGTGATTTCTTAGATCACTTCTCAATCCATTGACACTCACAAACTGATTCCTTTTTGGCAGATAGCTTCTGAACCAGTTTCTTGCCAAAACCCTTATACCTGTTTTCCAGTTTTTTGAGAACTATTGCATGGTTGACAGTGTCAAATGCCTTTCGCAGGTCAAGTGACACAAGAGAACACGTTTCACCCTCATCAATTTTCATTTGTAGATCTGTGAGCAGATCGATTATTACTTGACCGTCGAAACCCATATTGACACTTTAATAAAAATTGAATTTCACACAAATACTAGAGTAATCTATCATCAACACATTTCTCAATTATCTTAGATAATACAGGTAGAAGTGGAACAGGCCTATAGTTTGTTGGCATTTCAGGGTTACCAGATTCAAATAAGGGAATAACTTTTGCAAGTTTTGCACTATCGGGAAATTCACTATGTGCAAATGACAAATTTATCATGTCACTGACAAGCACTGAATATTTTTTCACTACAGCTTTCACTGCTCTCACTGTAATGCCATCGTAACCACTAGCTTTCATATTCATTCCTGAAATATTACAAGGAATCCCCACGCCCCGCCCTGGCTTCTCTTAGACACTCATGAAGATGAATACACCCGTAAAAACAAAATAAACTCTCACCTTCTGCCCTTGAATGAGTCTGCATTAGGACGAACAATAAGAGAAAAAGTGGTAATTCAACTAAGTCCTTCATTTTCAAAATTTCACACTAATGAAAATTCAATAGAAAACTGGTGCAATACTGATGAAATGAAGTCATCAAAACGTATGAGTGATTGGTAACTAGGTAATGATGTGATCTTAAAATTGAATGGAACATACAACCATATAATATATAATCTCAAGTGACCATTGAGATAAAAAAGGAAATGTAAACAGTTGGATGAAAAATTACAAATCAAAAGTATGTATTTGCGTATCTATAATATACAGTTTTTCCCATGGACCGAGAAATATTCATCAAAAAAATATCTTTTTCGTCGAGCCCTACAAAAAATCACATTTTACGTTCTTATTTCCGGACGAAAAACCGACTATTTCCGGAGGGCAAGTACTAACTTATCGTTCGCAAACACTTTTCGCCCGCTACAGGGTTGTCAGATCTACTGAATTTTCAGTAGATCTTCTGACTTGCATATTGATCTATTGATCTACTGAAACATTTCATAACCTACTGAAAAATATTTAGATAATTTTTCATCATCATAATTACCTATATTATTATTAATCCCAAGTTTATCACATACACAAAAACATTTTTTTCCACCACTAGCTATAGAACCTATCATTATTTACTCCTTTAGAAGGCGTAAAGTCTGATTTTACTACCAAGGTAGTTTTCGTCATTTTATGAACCAATTATAGCTGACCTGGCAAACGTTGTTTTGCCATAAACACTTTTTCTAGAGAATATTTTTTTAGTTTAATATTCATCAACAATCTTCTGTTATTTTATTTTATACTTTTTTTTAGTTTGACTATCCATAAAAGTGTGTTTCATTAGTTGTGCAGACTACTATTTATTGCAATAGCTGACCCGGCAAACGTTGTTTTGCTATATACATTCATTTCTAGAAAATATTTTCTCAGTTAAATATTTATCAACACACTTCTATTACTTTGTTGTATACTTCTTTTCAGTTTGACTATCCATAAAAAACATGTTTCTTCAGTTTTTCAAACTACTATTCATTTTCTACTTCTCTTTAGTTCGACAATCTATCCCTCCAGTTTTTCAAACTACACTATCAATTTTCTACTCCTTTTCAGTTTGTCCTAAGTTTGGCTATCTATTGAAGCGTGTTTCATTATAGTTTTTCGAACTAATATTCGTTACGAAGCTAGTTAGCCATATTGGATCCGCTATCTTGAATTAACCAATTTTGAAGAAAAAGATCATAATCTCCGACTCCGAAAACACCCAGATACCAATCTTCAATAGAATTATTGGATCATAATAACAAAACTTGTTCGCTTTATCGGTTCCGCCATCTTGAATTTCTCAATTTTGAAGGAAGAAGCATATAATCTCCTATCACGAAAACACCCATGTATTAATTTTGGATAGAATTGGAACATAATTACGAAACCCGTCCGCCATATTGGATTCACCATCTTGAATTTCCGAATTTTGATGAAAAAATCATAATTTGCGATCCCGAAATCCCCCAGATACAAATTCTGAATGGAATCGCATCATAATTACAAAACTCGCCCGCCATATTGGATCTCCCATCTTGGATTTCCAAATTTTGATGACAGAATCATTATCTCCGAGTCTGGAAACCCCCAGATACTAATTCTGAATGGAATCTAATCATAATTTAAAACTGGTCTGTCATATTAGATCCAACGTTCTGAATTTTCTAATTTTGCCGGAGCAATCATAATCTCTGACCCCAAAAACCCCCAGTTACCAATTTTGATAGAATCTGACCATAATTACAAAAGTCGTCAGCCATATTGGATCCGTCATCTTGAATTTCAGAATTTTTACGAACGAATTATAATCTCCGACCCCGAGAACGCCCAGATGCCAATTTTGAATGGAATCTGACCATAAATACAAAACTAGTCCGCCATATATTGGATCTGCCATTCTGAATTTCCTAATTTTTATGAAGAAATCATCATCTCCGACCCCGAAAACCCCTAAATACCAATTTTGATAACAATACTCGTCCGCCATATTGGGTCCGCCATCTTGAATTTTTGATTACAAAAATAGATTACGACCGATTCTCATTCCTACCGAATACGCACAAAAATTTTCATACGAATCGGTCTAGCCGTTTCGGAGGAGTTCGACCACTAACACCGTGACCGGAGAATTATTTTATATATTAGATAATGATATTCTTTACTACGTTTGTGAATAAATAACTATCAATTATCAGTGGTTGAGCGCTCGACTAGCGGTATCTATATTTTTTCATGTTCATAATATGTCTGAGAAAATTACTTTTCAATATTTTCATTACTTATAATCTTTTAACAGTGACTATGAATTCGGAGATATTTCGCTGATGATGGTCTGACATTTCAGCTGCTTCTTATGTTAAACAAAAAAAAAACAACAAAATCAACTTTGTTATTATCAGTTCCATGGAAAAAGCGATGATAGAATTGATGAAACTAACTTTAAATTGAATGTCAATATCACATTGGAATCGATCAACTCGGCTACCTAGATCTTGACAAAATACATTTTTTTCACTGATGTGAAGGATGCAAAATGATACACTGAATTCAAAAATCATACAGACGGTAATATTTGAAAATAAAAAGTTGTGTAGAATGAGTTCTCTTGTGTCAATTAATTAATAATAAATAATATAGTACCATCCAACTTTCAAATTCCGATCTCGAATGAATCAGAAGTTACAGCACTGGCCGTGTTTCGTGCACTTCCCTGTATATTCAGTGAGCGGTTGATTTATGGAATATATTCGATATTTCTGTTGAACAGAAGGTTCGAGAAAATATACCAGACACATCAATTCTGTATTTTCAAGACCCATCATTCGAACTATGTCAGAGTATTTTGACTGGCTGCCCTTAGAACTCATTTATTATATTTTTAGTTACATGTGAATCACTCTGTATATATCTGAAACAGTATTGTCGACAAAGATACCAAACACATTCGAATAGTATTAATCAGCAAACCCTAGGTTCATCAGAAATTTCGAATATATTCCATAATGTAGCCGCTCACGTATTTTACCTTCATTACACCTAGATTTTTGAGAAGTGTAAATATGATCAGTATCGATCAGTTTATCAATATTTGTAATATGTGTTTTATCACTTCTGTTGTGATTGATTTGCTGTTTACTTTTGATTAACCTGCAAGAGATTCACGACAGATGTAGGTATACTGGATATGATAAAAAGAGCATAAGTGCCTACACTGAAATACTGCCTGTAGGTTTATCAAGGAGGAAGAATATTTATATTCCCCGATTTTCTGGTATTATTTTCTCCTCGTTTCTATGAGAAACAATATATAATTCCAATACATACATTTAATATGTGTAGTAAGGACAAATCAGATCACTGTTCCAGCAAAAAAGTAAACACAAAGGAGGATATATATTTGAGCTAACTGTTTGAAGAACCCTTTCAGTGGGGTTGTCACCTCAAAAATTTTCCAGATGGGATATTCAATACAATGCTGCTTAGTTATCGAAAATCGATCCACCCGCTAAAAAAATATGGAGCTTAAAAACACCAACAATACGTTTGACGACAAATTTTGAGAATCGTTTCGATTTTACTTCAAAACAAACCATATCGGCTATTCCACCATTTCGCTTGAAAACGGCATGATTCCAACCCATCCTCGAAAAAGAAAGCAGAAGCCTTCCAACAAATATAGGCTAATTTTCTCATTATCAGTCATATCCAAAGTGATGGAGAAAACCATCAACATTGAGCTCATCAAATATCAGGAAGCTCAAGAATCAATAATGAGAGACAATATGGCTTTTGCCACCGAAGATCAACTGAAGAGTTACTTGCCTATGTCACTCATATATAGCAATCTTCATTAGAAACACATGGAGAATCTCTAGCTGTAGCGTTGGGTGATATATCGAAGGCATTCGACCGTGTTTGGAAACAAGGACTCCTCCACAAACCACCATACGGCTTACCACCTCAGCTGTACCATTTTTATCGAGTTTTGTTTAAGGCAGATAGCCCCATGTGGTGGTGAACGAAGTATCGTCTGATAATATTGCCAGCAGTTTCGGCGTTCCACAAGGATCCATTATGGCATCAACGTTGTTCCAACTTCATATCAATGATCTGTTGGAAGCAACCACTTGCCCTATTCACAGCTTTGCAGACGATTGTACTCTTCATTGAGCGTTCTGTTTAAGTGTTCCTATTTTGTCCTAGGAATATAAGAACTTACGACGTAGGCATGCCAACGCTGTCAATGACGGCAGAGCTTTGGAATTCTTTGCCAATGGAAATATTGCCAAGACGGTATAACCTCCAAAAGTTCAGAAAACAATCCAACACCTACCTTCCCTTCCTAACTTCCCTAGGTACGCATGAGGTACCTCGAACATTATAGGAAATTTCTTTCGAGCGTTCCAAGAGATTAAAAAAAAGTTCTTCACTCTTTTTGCTGCTTTACAAATTCTTTATACTCGCTTTATGAGTGAACAATTATCAAGTATGTGCTTCACTTTTAGATAGGTCAAGTATAGTTGCTAGATAGCTATCTTGTGACTTATTGTTGAATTGTTCCAACATTGTTGAAACTTTCAAGGAAAATTGAAGAGATTTGTAAATTTTTCGTCGAACGTTTTCTTGGTTTTCTGAGCTATTTATCATCTGAGTTGATCTATTTTCTAAAATTTCACTTCCATTCCTATTTGAAAAAATACCTCAACTCAAGGAGTTGAAGGTTTTTGCCGTGCATGTATTGCATGCCGGAAATTACGGTTTTTTGGACTACCAGACAGAAGTCCAAAAAAAAAACTGTTTTCGGAAGTGTTGCGTACACTATTTTTTCGACAACCGTGTAGAATAACAAACCAATGAGGCACATTTCTTTGTCGAACAAAATCTTGACCATTTCAATCTTTATTAATATTGAATATTGTAAAGAAATAATTCTGCTGAGGCAGCAGCTGCTGCATTTGAAATTGCAAAGACACATTTTCAAACTTATTCTAT